AAAAAAAAAAAAAAAAAAAAGTCTTAAAACTACAGAATCTAAAGTGCCAGACGTCTTCTTTTTTCATGTTCAGTTAGAATCATCTGTCTGTACCGGGTCCCCATTCTAACTTCCTCATACTCAAGAATTCATTTTTTTAGCCAAACAAAATCTCTATTTTAAAGCACTCTCTCTTCTTTCTCCTTGGGCGAGGAAAGCACAAAGAGACTAGTTTAGCTTCTTCATTAAGGTTAGTATCCTAACGTATCTCTCTCTGGAGCAACCCTGCCATCTTAGAGTCATCTTTTTAGTCTTTGTAGGTTAATCCATTTCAAAAGTAAAGAGGACAAAAACCAGGCAATTCTTCAAAGGGTGTGATTATTGCAGAATATTCTGGAAGGATGGATAATTTCCTAGCCTTCGCTCATGCTATTCCCTTTACTCTCTCCTCGAAGCAGGTCCAGCTGTTGTTCCCAAGTGTGTTTTGCAAAGGGAGTGCTCAGCTGGCCCATTCCCATGCAGCATGTGGCCAGCGTGTGGTCAGCAAGCCTCACAGATTTTTTCCAGCCACACTTGAGCTCTGTCCACCTCCCAGCTACTCTTACTCTTGTTACTGTGGAAGGACATTTCTCCCCTTGAGTTATGCCCACTGCCTATAAAGTCTTCATAGAGATGACCCCCACACTCAAGGTGACACTTACTGAACCAGGTTAAATCGGCACAGTTAATATTTCTCAAATCCATGTGGTGCATAACATTAGCTTTCTTAGAAGGAGGAGAGAACTTTGTGTCAGGCTCTGTGATATCACAACTTGTCACAATTCCTTGATGTGAGCATATTAGTCCCACTTTACAGATGAGAAATCTGAGGCCCACGGAGGTTACATAACTTACCCAAAGTCACTGCCAAGAGTAGAGAGGCAAGGATTCCACTCAGCCTGCCCGTCTGCAAAGACTATGTTCTTTTTAGGCTACCACTTAATTCCACATTATACCTTCCAAAAACACTCCCTATTTGAGGTCATTTAAAAAAGATGTAGAATAAAATCCATCCTTTTTTTTTTTTTAATGTCAATCTTAGATTTAGCTCTCCTGAGGTTTTTTTCTTATTTAACTTTACTTTTTATCCCTACTGAGTTCCCAGGATTTAAAAGATGAAAACTAAACAAGTATTAAACATAGGAAGGAGCCACTTCACGAGGCCATTCCAATAAGAACAAAATAAATCTCACACCAAAAAACAGAGATGAAAGGGGGAGGAGGGTCAGGGAGAAAACTGAAGCAATAAATTGAAGAACGGCAAAACAAACCATTCAAACTATTCTTGTGTGACTCCGCACAAGACAGTCTGTGCAATCCTCTCAAGGCAAATATGATGGGCTTAACTAAGCCCTGGGGGAACCACTCCTACCCCGCCCTTCCCAGCAACCTGGCTACTCTCATAAGTAAGTCCATAGAACCCTAATAAGATGAAATTCGACTCAGTCCTACCAACAATTTAGATTCCCAGGACGAAGAGGAGTTATTTAGGAACAGAGACTCCATGAGCACTATGGACAAAAACGTGGGGAAAGCAATTCTTTAATTTTTATTTTTGAGACAGGGTCTTGCTCTGTCTCCCAGTCTAAAGCACAGGGGTATCATCACAGCTCTCTGTAAGCTCTAACTCCTGTGCTCATGTGATCCTCCTGACCCAGCCTCCAGAACAATGAGGACTACAAATATACACCATCACACCTGGCCAACTTTTCTATTTTTTTGTAGAGACAGGGTCTCACTCTTGCTCAGGCTGGTCTCGAACTTTGGTTTCAAGTGATCTTCCTGCCTTGGCCTCCCCAAAGCGTTAGAATTACAGGCTTGAGTTACTGTGCCCAGCCGGAAAGAAATTTTTTATTTTCATCACAGAACAAAAAATTTTCTATCGTCAGTGATATGGAGGAGAAACTTGGACACCTCGGTTGTCACTTATTTTAGATACAGAATATCTCCCAGGAGTTTAGGACTCTCACAATTAAGTCTATGTAACTGTAAAATAAGAGGAAATTCAGTTTTTGCAATTGGAAGCCTTATTCCCTGAGAGCAGGAGAAAAAAGAGGAGGAAGCCTGCTGAGTTCTGGCGGAAGGCTGCACCAGCTGGCAACCAATGGTCTCCAGACTCCCTGACTCTCCTCTTTTTCACTGGGGAGAGAGGACTGGTTACCATGATCCGACTTGGTGCGGACAATTTAGAATCCTCAGAGTTCCTCAACTTTCCAAACGCCCACTGCCAACTGCTTCCCAAATGCAGTAAATGACATGAAAATATTTGCATGATGGTAAAACTATAAACCGGCATCACTTCCTAGGAGAAAAAGTAGCCCATATGTTACAAATGAAAACCAGAAGAGTTCCGAGATCCCTCTGTGGGGGAGAGAGTGGCAAGGTGGATGCTGGTACCTTGATGCAATTGTGAGGAGAGGGCTACTCAAAGCAAGAGTGAGTAAAAAAAAAAGACCAAAAACAGAATTTAAAATCTTGTGCCCTGCTGTAAAACTCTCTTTTGTATCATCTACGGGGAAGGGGCTTTGGGATATTCACGGTGCCTGGGTGGCTTTTCGGTTGTCATTTTATGTTGGCTATTGAGACTGTTTCTGGTTAGATTTTAAAATCGAGACGGTCAAAGAGACAATTTAAAAATGTAAACTTGCCAGTACTTGCCGGCTGTGCTCCTACCTGTGTCCATCTCATCCACGTTGCTGAGGAAGTCCTCCGGAGTTGTGGGGACACTGTAGCACCCCAGCCCCAGGCCGCTGTCAGTGCTCTGCTCCCTCGAATGGTACGGTCCCCTGGAGAGCAAAAGGCGTGAGCCCGTTTTAAAACTGAAATCTAGTCCTGGAACTCTGAACTAGTCTGTCTTTCTGCCCAGCATGCTAGGCAATGAAATAAACTGCAAGGAAAAGTGGCCTTTTATAGTAAGTGGACACTGATTTCCTTTCCATCTCAAAATAACCACTTGGGACGCTTCTATACATAGAGTTTAATACCATTGATGTAACATCTTAAATAACAGAACACAATGCCGAATAGTGTTTATTGACATCCATACTACTAGGCGGTAAGTAAGAAGTATAAAAACCTCCCCTCTCCCCTGGTGGATTTCCACCGAGCGGTGCTGGCCCCTCTGTGCACGTGTGTGCTCTTCAGTCAGCTCCAATTTAACAGTGAGTACACGTGGTGTTCACTCAGGAGAATGGTATCCAGTTCCACCCACATTGCTGCAAATACACTGTCTGGGTGATGGGCACACCTATAGCTGGGACTCACGCATTACAGATGCAGTCTGGGTAACCTGAAACATTTGTACCCACTTAGTATTTTGAAGCAAAAAGAACTTTTTCTTAAAGAAGTATAAAAATCTGTCACTGGATACACACCGGTTTCTCAATAGTGGCTATCACTGAGGACAGAAGAAGGGAAAAAATGAGAGTTCAGTGGTGGTAAGGATGGGTTCAAATATTAATTGTAATATTTCATTTATTAAAAAAATGATCAGATGGAAATATGGCAAACCTGGGTTATTACCCAGAGTTCCCTGATAAAGCTTACATTATTCTTTATACTTTTCTGTACTTTAAATATAGACTTAAAATCCATAACTTAAAAGTCTGTTCATTTTGGATACTGTATATTTCTACCTCCTTTATTAAGGCTACATTTGTGTTTGCTTGCTTACCAGAAGCCTCTGCAAGGGCAGAAAAACAGGAAATACGGCATTGCCCTTTATCTAGTTTTTAAAAGCTAGAATTATAGTGGATTACTTCTACTTATGAAGATATTTTTGGCTCAATTCTCTTTCCCTCTGTTCCTTGGGGTTTATTTTTATTTTATTTTTTTGAGACAGAGCCTCAAGCTATCCCCCTGGGTAGAGTGCCATGGCATCACAGCTCACAGCAACCTCCAACTCCTGGGCTCAAGCACGTCTCCTGCCTCCAACTCCCAAGTAGCTGGGACCAGAGGCGCCTGCCACAACGCCTGGCTATTTTTATTTTATTTTATTTTATTTTATTTTTTTGGTTGCAGCCGTCATTGTTTGGCGGGCCTGGGCTGGATTCGAACCCGCCACCTTAGGTGTATGTGGCTGGCACCTTAGCCACTTGAGCCACAGGCACCTAGCCAATTAATTTTTTAACTGTGAAATAATTTTGGACTCATATAAGATTCAAAAAGAACACAGTTTTACATATCTTTTACCCAATAATACCTTACATAATTATAATGCAATTACTGTAACCAGGAAACTGACAATGTAGAATAAGTATTAAACTTGAGACCTTATTCACACGTCACTGTAAACATCATTTCTTTTCTTTTTTTTTTTTTTGAGACAGAGTCTCACTATGTTGCCCTGGGTAGAGTGCTATGGTATCACAGCTCACAGCAACCTCAAACTCCTGGGCTTAAGCGATTCTCTTGCCTCAGCCTCCCAAGTAGCTGGGACTACAGGTGCCTGCCACAACGCCTGGCTATTTTTTGGTTGTAGTTGTCATTGTTGTTTGGCAGGCCTGGGCTGGATTTGAACCTGCCAGCTCCCGTATATGTGGCTGGTGCCCTAGTCACTGAGCTACAGAAGCCAAGCCATGTAAACATCATTTCTTAATTGTTTTGTTCTCAATTTGCCATGTGATGCGCCTTTATTCCCCTGTTGGCTACAGAAAACCATAAAATTCTTCTAATTCCTAAACAATGCCATTATATTCAAATTATAAGCTCATCTCCATTTTCAAATTATTGACTATGGGTTTACTCCATGTCACATCACCAATTTTTAAATTTGAGAATTTTATTTTTTCTTTTTTGCAGTTTTTGGCTAGGGCCAGGTTTGAACCTGCCACCTCCAGTATATGGGGCCGGTGCCCTACTCCTCTGAGCCACAGGAATTGCCCCAATTTAAGGATTTTTTAAAAAGCAGGTGCCTTCCTCTGCCTTTCTTTTTTTTTTTAGCTCCTTCCTTCCACTTTCTCCCTCTACCCTTGCCTCTCAAGCTCCCCAACTTTCCCCAGTGTCCACAAAGACCCCATTATAGTTTAGACCACATAATAAAGAGAATAGAAATAAGTGCCCCACAAATAGTAACTCACCCGTTGAGGAAAGGATCAGAGCTATTATTGGTGATGGATCTCATGTCTGGGGTCATGGTGGGAGGATTGACAGCAGCTTGAACTGGGGCCAGAGCCTCAGCTTCCATGGGGAGCTGTCGACAGAGGGCAGCTTCCTGCAGAAGTAGACAGTCAGAAGGGGGGACAGAGTCACTCACTCATTGTCACAAGGCTTGGAGTGAAGTGTACATACTTGACGTGCAAACTTTTCACCACATACAAGGTGCTTATATTTATTCTCAGTAAGTCTGAATCACCCATGTTCTTTCTCTGAAGAAAGCTTACAGACACAAGTCACTTTCTTACATTCAAAGTTAACGAGAAGCCCAGCTATTATGTGAGCTCAGGGCGCATAATGTTGCAACCCTCCCACTCATGTAGTTGTTTAAACTCCAAACCATACGGAGATCTCTCAAGACACTTTGTCAGAGACAAAGCTATTGCTATTTCTTTTCCAGGTTCTTAGACCAAATCTAAATCTGGCAAAGTAGCCAGAGCTGGACTAGCAAGTACGTTCTAATCTTTGCCACTTCCAGGCCAGGAAAGCTATGGGTTTACAGAGTTCAGACTCTGCACTAAATGATATCTGGCAGTTCTATGTCAACAGCCATGAGAACAAAATAACCCCTTTAAAAGTTTGTTTTAAAAAGTCAGTTTTTCTATTTGACTAATTATTTTGTTGACTACAATACTGAAGGTTGGGGAGCCATACAGATCCCAATCCAAATCGCATAGACAAGAAACTCTTTAACAGCATCTGGATTTCATTAGCAAAAATACATATATAATGTAAGCAGGTTTTCTAGGTTAGTTACTTTGCCATGGAGAGCCAATCCAAAAGATTACAAATTTATTGACTGGAATAGTGTGCTCTGGGTATAACCTCTAGAAGTCTCTTCCATTTTGACTAAACATGAGCAGACATGAAATTCCTTTCAAATTTGCTGCCGTTTATACTTGCATCCAAAACCAAGGTTGGGCCCTCTCCCTTATTTATGCCAATCCACTTCCCACTTTCCATGCTGAAGCTCACCATCCCTCAAACCCCAAAACCATGGCTACCACAGCAAACAGAACATTTAGGCCATCTAGTAACAGTATCTTTGTTAGATCTCATCCAGCCCTAACGTGCTAGGACTTCACAGAGTAACTGCTGTCTAGACAAGTCCCAGTGAAGTCATCGGCTATAAAAACTTGAGGTTACTGGAGTTCATTGTGCTGTTACTGGGAGTTATAGTAGCATGACTCTTCCAAACTGTGAGAATCCTGATTGATGAGAAACTGCATTGTTAACTTATACTGAAATAAACATTCTAGCTAGAAAGGGCCTCCAGTTCACTTCTGTTCATACAGATTGCAAATAATCAGAACACTTAACTAATGCATTTTATATTCAAGTGATCCACAAAAAGAAAACCAAAAAACAGAGATCATTTTGAAAGGTAATTTGTATCCATCATCCAAATCCTGGAAGTACCTTCTGAAAAAACCTAGAAAAACTGAAGTATTGTCCAACAGCTGCTTTTACACGGCAGGCAATGTGCATTAGAAAACTTATTATCTGACAAAAGCTTTCCAGAAACCCTCACATAGAAGGACTCAAGAACTGAATCTAGCATAAGGAGCCTACAACCTACCAGCCTCAATCCCTCATGCACAATCCGATACCCTAAACCACAGGTTGAAAACATTTGATGATAAAATTTTTAGTTTTTTATAAACAGTAAATGCAAGGATCCTTTGACTAATAACCTTCATTATCCAAAAAAAAAAAAAAAAAAAAAAAAA